TGATGCCCTCATAGTTCTTTCTGCTTCTGTTCTTTTCAGTTTCTTCTAACCACAGTATTAAAAAAAAAAAAAAAAATGTGACTCTGTAAATCAGAGCATTTCCTAATTTAAAATTTTCCCTGGTTTCCCCTTGCACTTAGAATAAAATCCACTTTTCTTACCGTGAGCCTGAAAGCCCTTGCATTCCTTGTGTATTTTTATACTCCAATTTCTCGTCTGCGTTTCCTGTTGTTGAGTCAGAGCTGTGGTGATCCCCCCAAGGAGCAGTGCAGCACTGCTTTAGCTGAGTTCCTTCTGTCTTACCCAACTTCAAACCTATGCACCACGTTGCTGTGAAGGTATTTTTCATTTCTTCCCAGAAAGGAAAAGATTGATTTTCTTTTCTTGAAATATGAGAACAGTTTTGACACACTTGAAAATCTGTTTCCATTAATGGTATATTTCTCTGGATGATGTGATTTTCAAGTGATTTTTTTTTCCTATATGTTCCCAATTTCCTACATGAGTGGTTTTGTTTACTGTTGTTGTTGTTGTTGTTGTTGATACAGGGTCTTGCTATGCAGTTTGGACTCATAGTGATCCTCCTGTCTCAGCCTCCCCAGCACTGGGATTACAGGAGTGCACCACCATGCCCAGGCATGGTGCACCTGGGGTTCTGGAGCTGGCATGGCTTACCATACCAGGGATTGAACCAGGGTCCTTGCGCTTGCCAGGCAGGTGCTTAGACTGTTGAGCTATCTCCCCAACTCTGCAAAAAAGTTATTTTAAAAGCCAATTTTAGATAATTCATAATGGCTACTGAATTTTTTAAAGTGTTTTATTATTATAAAAACAATATATATTCATTGTAAACAATTAGAAAATAACTCTTTGGGAGAATAGACATTTTTTTCTGTGCAAACATTTGAAAACGAAAGTGAGATCTCACACTTTTTCTCGTTTTCTGACTTAAATCTTCTGCAGTAATGATCTTCAGCTTTCTTCCTTTCATCTGGTGTAGAGCTCAAATTCAGATTCCTTCAGCTGACTCCAAAATGTTTTTGAATCAAACCACTCTGTGACTCAGAGGCACAGATTGCGCTTATGGTTATGTCACTTAAATCTTCCCACCTCCTTCCTGTACTAGGGTTAGACCCAGGGCCTTCACACTGAGCTAGGCCTCTAGCCCACTTGTGATTTGTGGCAGGCTCACTGAGTCACCCGGGCTGGGCTCTACCTTGTGGTCCTCCTGCTTCACCTCCCAGAGTGTTGGGATTATAAACATGCGTCTTCAGTGATGATTGACTTTAAAATCTCTTAATTTTTAACCATAGTGCTTTTAGTTACAGTACTGACTTGATGATAAGATTGGCGGCATTTTCCTGTAGAATGTTTAGATTTGTCTGATTGCTCCCTCATGGTATCATTTCGTTTGTTCCTGTATCCCTTCTAGTTTGCACACTAGAAGGTATATCTAAGGATGATGGGGTGTTTTTGGCTAACCACATCATACTGTGCATTTTGTGTTAATATTGTATCACATAATATCTTTTTCATCACCCATTATGTTGGGTGATGATTTTGTGATTATGTTTACTTAGACTTTTCTTTTCTGACTATAAAGTTTAGTATTACCTTAGCATGATACAGATATCCTTTAGTGACCATTCATCTGTTGTAATGACAAGGACAATTTGCTGGAATCAGCATTTTGCTAAGGTTTGCAAAATGGATTTTTTTCAGTTTGTTCATGCTTTTCTATACTTCATATTGAAAAGAACTTTCCTTTGTTAACTCTGTTTTTAAATCAACCTACAGTTCATACTCAAAAGAACAAGATAAATGCTTACCTCTTTTCAATTAATATCTTCAAAAACAGTTTTAAGAGTTCTTCAAGTGATATAAGTGACTTTGCCTCTGTTTTTTTTTTTTTTGTTGACATTGTTATGGTTCCATAGATTTTCACTGACGGAAGCATGTCTTAGCCCATTACTGTCATTCTTCAGTTATGGTCACTCCTTTAATCTGTCGCCTGTGTGCTTTGGTGATGGCCTTGTTAGTGTCATAAAACTTGCTTGCTGATATACTGTGTCTTAGTTCCCAGGCTTTTTGTTCATTTTTCTCTGCCTCAGACTTGACTTAGCAAGTTCTCTAGTGATTCTGGTTCCAGTTAGCAAGATAGGTATCAGAGACTACTGGCTGGGACCAGAGGTACTTAGTGCATGCAGGTGGCACTGGTTCTGGGCTGTTTCAGGTTAGAAAACACATGAAGTACACTTACTTATTTTTATCTTAGCTTTCAAATCTATTTGGTACAGGGTTTCACTATGCAGCCTGGACTCATGCGATCCTCCTGTTTTCAGCCTCCCAAGCACTGGGACTAAAAGCCTGCACTACCACACCCAGTTTTGGGGGCCGTCTCAGTCTCAGTGTGTCCCAGCATGCCTGGGGGTTGGGCCGGTGTGGCATGTGGTGCTGGAGATTGGACCCTGGTCTCTTGTTTGCCTAAGTAGGCGCTTAGTCCACTGAGCTATCTTGCCATCCCTGAAGTACACTTTTAGTTTTGTTATTTTTTGTATAACAGCTTTATTGAGTTATAATTTATATACCATAAAGTGCATTCTTTTAAAGTATAAGCTACTACACATGCCTGTAATCCCAACACTTGGGAGGCTGAGAACAGGAGGATCACTATGAGTCTGATCTGTGCAGTGAGACCCTATAGACCCTGTACTAAATACATTAAAAATAATACTAAAATATAATCTACAAAAGGCTGTGCTTCCCTCCTGCCTGACCAAAAGAATTCATTTTGAAAATTTTGGATGCATTGCTAAGTGAGAATTAGAAGTTAGTACAGTTTTAGTTTACATTCCTCTTAAACATTTTGAATTGCTTTTGACAATTAAGGTCCTTTTTTTTCTCTGATGTGGCTTTTGTGTCCTGTGCCCACTTCTCTATTGGGTTAATGTCTGAGAAATATCTATAAACCATATTTGAAAAAGTTGTTCCTAAAACACTTTGGTGGCTTCACACAATCTTCAGCACAAAGCTAAATTTCTTTAATGTAGCATATTGATATTATTCCTTAAGTTCCCCAGCTTTCTGTCCTTTCCAACCTTCTAAGCTCTCCGTCCATGTATATTAGTCCCTTTCTTTCTGAAATGGTGCTGTCTTCCCTAACTCCTTTGTGCCCATGAGCAAATTATTCTTTTGCTGTGAGGGTATATGTGTCTCTCCAAACTTCTTGTTACTTTTTAAAATTTAATGCAGAATTATACCCTGCAAAGCGAACTCAGCCTCCATCTGCTCATGCTTCTCCTAAGTGCTTCTCATGCATGTTGTGTTCATTTATTCTTATTGTGTATTACAGTATGGGTACTAGTCATCTATTTATTGCTGTGATCCAGGACCCAAAAAAAAAGTCAGTCTGGAGGAGGAAGGGTTTATTTTGGCTGATGGTTTCAGAAGTTTTAACCTATGGTTGCCTGGCTCCAGGGTAGAGACCTCATGGTGAAAGGGCGTGACAGAAGAAAGCCACTCACCTGCCAGAAAGAGAAGAGAGTGAGTCAGAGGGAGAGGAAGGGGATGGAGACAGGAGCGTGTTCTTCCAGGTTTGCCTCCAGTGCCAGACACCACCTCCTGACAGCACACTCAGCCATGAACTCATCAGTGGAGTACTAGTGGTCCAGCCAGCGATCCAGTCACCTTCACAAACCCTACCCCTGAACGTGTGAGCCTGTTGGGGGACATATTTGATCCAATTCATAACAGTGTTATGGCCTACATTCAGGGCAAGGAATCTCTTACATTCAGTAGACAAAACAGGTCTTGGAATTAGTTGCTTCACTCTAAAACATGTTGTTTAACTCTCCTTTGTTTGTAGAATGCAAGTTAAGTACCTATTTCATAAGATTATTGTGAAGACCAAAGAATAGGCGTAGAGAATCTGATACAAGGTTCAGTAAACATTGATCACATTACCCACTGTGGAGGAATCAAAAGACAAAATCAACAAATTTTGCTTAAGGGTCTATCTGGCTTTAATTTGTGATTCTAGAATCAGGCCACACTTTTTTTGTTTTTTGTTTTGTTTTTTAGATGGGGTTTTGCTATGCAGTTCAGGCTGGACTTGAACTCACTTTGTAGCCCAGGGTGACCTGGAACTCCCAGTGATCTTCCTGCCTCAGCCTCCTGAGTGCTGGGATTACAAGCATGTGCCACCACACCCTGCAACACCTTAATCTATAAAATAGAATGAGTATTCCACTAGGCATGATAGAACAGTTTGTTTTTGTACGATAGGAACAAGAAAAAACAGTGGGCCAGTTTGCGTCAAGAGTATGCCAGTATGCTTATTATGCCTGACTCAGGTAGACGGGGCTCTTTCTGGTTGGTGGGTTGCTGCGAATTTCCTATTTTATGTTTGTAGATTTACAGCTTCCTTAAAGTTTTAGTTTGCTTATGTGGCACGGGTGTTACGGTTTCCATCTGGAATTTAAGTCCAAGGGTTTCTTTCCTTGGTTTAGCTCCCTCAGTACTCAGCTGCAGTTGCCTAGATGAAACCACTGTTTGACCTAAGACCTCAGTCATGAGCTTCGAATACCCGCAGTCCTGGTCTGTGTGCTGCTTCACTGCCTTTAGGAGCCTGATTTCTCTGGCTTTGGGCAACTTTTTTTTTTTTTTTTTTTTTGGAACCGGTGATTGAACTCAGACCCTTGTGCTTGCCAGCCAAGTGCTTATTCTACTGAGCCATCTCCCCAACCCGTGGGCAATGTTTTGTTTTGTTTTTAAATTTTTTTTAATTAATTTATTTATTTACTTGTGTGTGTGTGTGTGTGTGTGTGTGTGGCCAGCTCAGCTCACCAGGGGGCGGGGCTGGCTGGCATGTGGTGCTGGGGGATTGAACCGCGGTCCCTCTGCTTTGTTAAGCTTGTTCTAAGTAGGTGCTTTAGACCGCTGAGCCATCTCACCAGCCCAATGTTTTTAATCATTAAGAATTTATCTTGTTTCTTCCCCAGGAAAATCTAATGTAATGGATGCACTTAGCTTCGTAATGGGAGAGAAAATAGCTAATTTGAGAGTCAAAAGTATTCAAGAACTTATTCACGGTGCACATGTTGGAAAACCTGTTTCTTCTTCTGCAAGTGTAAAAATTGTATATCTGGAGGAAAGTGGAGAAGAGAAGACATTCACACGAATTATCCGAGGTATTTGCTTCATATATTTAGCTTGGCAGTCATTTTATTTTATTTTATTTTTTGTGGTACTGGGGATCAAACTTGGGACCTTGTGCTTGCCAGGCAGGCGCTTATGCCACTGAGTTATCTTCTCAGCCCAAGGGAGTCGTTTGATTTTGAAAAAGTAAGCAAGATTGTTTTTCCTTTATTTGAAGGATGGGACTTAGTGCACTTGAGTCTCCAACTTCTGAATGAGTTCCATTCTGGGAGGTCATAAGTCTGGCGTGTTCCTAAGTCTGACATTATCTCTTACTCAGTACACCTGTGAAAGTTTGCAGCTCAGATGTTTGTATAGGGGACTTACTGTTTTCCAGTGACAAAATGAACTAGAAACTCTTCCCCCCTCCCCACCTCAGGGCAAGTAACAGAACCTGTTCTATTCTCCATTAGGATTCTTCCTCAGAACTGGTGAGATAGCTCAGTGGACTAAAGCTCCTGCTTAGGCAAGCTTAGGCACGCACAGAGACTGTGATTGCATCCCCCGGCACCACATTCCTTGCCGGCCCCATCCCCAGCGCAGACTGAGCTGGCCAGAGTCTGGGAGTATTGGTGCCCACCTATAATCCCAGTGCTAGAGAGGCTGAAACCAGCAGGATGACCATGAGTCCGAGCTGTGAAGTGAGACCCTGTAACAACCAAGTACATTAAAAAAAAGATTCTCCCTGTCAGGCACATCACCTGTTGTCTGACCACTTGGGAGCCTGAGGCAGAAGGATTACTGCAAGTTGCTGGCCAGCCCGGGTGAGTCAGAGTGAGCCTGAGGCCACCCTGAACTATATTTAAGACCTTTGTTTCAAAACATATTTTTAAAAGAAAGGAAAAAAAAGACTTCCTTAATCAGAATTATTTATTCAAATATTCTACTGTCAGGATTTTTATATTAATATATAAAGTTGAAAGGAAGGAGGGACTCTGAGACAGAAAAATCATGAAAGCCCCTCTTGGGGCTCCTGAGGCTTGTCTCCTTTCTTATTGATGAATTAATTGTATGCATGTTATTATCTTTATAGACAGTTTTTTTCTTTTATTTATTTACTTATTTATTGAAACAAGGTCTCCCTGTACAGCCCAGGCTGGCCTGGAGCCCACTGTGTAGCCCAGGCTGGCCCCCACCTCCTGAGTTCTGGGATTACAGGTGTGCACCAGTACCACCAGCAACCGACAAGCGTCTTCTACCAACATTGAGTGAAATGCTTTAGTTTGTATTAATTATTACGTCTATATAGTTCTTAATCCTTGCTAGAATTATATGGAACCTCTATAAATAAGTATGTGGTTTATTGTTTTAAGTTGTTACCGTTTTCATTCTTGTTTCCTAGCCCTTTTCCAATTTATAAATCCTATCTTAATTAACCTTCCTCAAGTTCAGTCGCAGGAGATTTCAGAATACTCCCTTACATACTGCCCCTTACTGGGTAATTTCACCTCCTTCTCACCCGGGTGTATTCGTGTCTGGTTTCCTCGCTTTCTTTTGGATTTTGTGTTTATAGAGCTGGAGTCTTGCAGTGTTGCCCAGACTGGCCTCAGACACCAGCACAAGTGGTCATCCTACCTCAGTCTTTCAAGAAGCCACAACTACACGTCAGGCCGCCACTGCCGGCCTTCTTTGGGATTCTTAACTCACAAATCACCATCTCAGTATGGATTCCCTTGCCTGCCATACTGAAGCTCGGTGCCTTTCCTCCCGTGCAGAAAGGCCGATTGTTCTCGTTCACAGGTCTGTCTCGGCAGGCACTTACTACTTTCTCACAGGCTGTTTACTTGCATACTTCATTTTTGTCTGTCTCCCTGACTAGGATATAATCTCTTTATGGTTGGAGACTTTCATCTGTTGTTTTTTTCCGCCAAAGAATAGTCCATGGCATTTAACACTGTTGTGGGCGGGTGAAATGTGTGTGTTAATAGGTATATTGTTGCATAACTGGTCATTCCAATAAAAAATACTCTGCAACAATCTGTATTCTGCGGTTTCAGGGGGATGCTCAGAATTCCATTTTGGTGACAACCCTGTGACTCGCTCTGCCTACATAGCAGAGTTGGAGAAGATAGGCATAATAGGCAAGGCACGGAACTGTCTCGTTTTTCAGGTAAGTGGCTGCAGTGGGGTCTCTGACTCATCAGTTGGGGAGTGCAGCACTACCTCTTACGTGTCGTCCTGTCCTGTTCCTAACAGGGAACTGTGGAGTCCATTTCCATGAAAAAGCCCAAAGAAAGAACCCAGTTTTTTGAGGAGATCAGCACTTCAGGAGAGCTTCAGAAAGAGTATGAGGAAAAAAAGAAAAAGTTACAAAAGGCCGAGGAAGATGCACAGTTTAATTTTAATAAGAAAAAAAATGTAGCCGCAGAGCGCAAGCATGCAAAATTAGAGAAAGAAGAGGTAAGATGTCCTGAAGAAGTGACTGCTTTCTGTGCTAGCTTGCCGGGTGCTAGCGTGGAGCCACCAAGAAGATTGCTTTAATAATAGAACTATAAACATAAACAGACGTCAGGCCTGATAGTCATTAAAGATAAACTTCATGGCATATCTGCCTCTATTTGAGTTTTTCTTTCCAGCATAATTTTGGATATTGACACTTTTAAACTTTTAAAAATTGAAGACCCAAAGTGGTTTTTGTTCATTGGCTTATATTTACCGATATTTATTGTATTTAAAATTAAAACCTAAAGTGTAAAAAGATTTTACTGATGCTTGCAAAAATTTCAGTTGAATTCGTTACATGCTAGCATTTTATGAAAAATAACTACGTTTTCCAAAATGAATCAATTGAAAGGGCAACATTCTTTTACTTTTTTTTTTTTTTAAATAGTATTGGGTGTTGAAACCCTGGCCTTGAGACTGAGCTACACTACCATTCCTTTTAATTTTTCCTTAGAGGCAGGGTGGTTGGCTCAAACTTCTAATCCCCTTGCCTCGGCCTCCTGGAGTGTACCACCACTCCTGGCTGTTGTACATTTCTGTAACGTAAAGACATGGCTTAGTAGGCGTAGCTGGGTCCTCATCCACTCATGATTTTTGTATGGCGGGCACTGTCACACTTAAGTTGTCCTCCACAGCCATTTCTTCATGCGGGTGTTTGTTGTCTGCCTCCTCACCTAAATCAGCACACCTTCCTTTATGTTTCCAGATTCCTTATTTTCTTTCTTTTATAACATATTGCTGTATGAAAGTACCTTTTTTATTTGCTTTTCTTTTCTCTTGACTCCCTTTCCCTGCATGATAATAGCTGGAAGGTGAGCTTCATAGGCGCAGACGTGGCCTTTCATGTTCTCTGCCGTGTCTCAGCGCATAGTGAGGACCTGGTGCGCAGTAGACACTCAGTAAAGACTTGAAGAGATAAACGTGGATGGGCTCATGATCAGTGCAGGTTTTTTCAGTTCCCTCATATTTTAATATCTACATATGTTCTTGGTGTTGTTAGTGGAAAGGGGTGGGCAGTAAGGGTCGATATGCTAGTTGCTGTATACTGAGATGGCTTACTGAATTGTGGAACTTGAAGCATTATGAAGACAGTTAAAATAGCCCAGCTTCCTAATGGTTTCTTATTTTTATTACAGCATCCTTGGCAGATGACTGTTAACTATTACTTGAAATACTTCGTTGACTAGGAGCTCTCCTCTTGAAGTGGCCCAGTCTGTTCTCGTTCTCTCTCTGTCTCTGTCTCTGTCTCTGTCTCTGTCTCTGTCTCTGTCTCTGTCTCTGTGTGTGTCCCTCTCTGTCTGTCTTAATAGCACAGATCAATATTAAGGAAATTCTTTTCTCATAATATAAAACTATAATCATGTACACTGCTGCAGCTTCCATTTTCATCAGTAGGAAAAGTACTTCCCATCGTATTAATTTTATCTAAAATCACTGAATTTAAAGTTGTGAGGAAATGTCTAATCCTGTAATACTCTTTCTTCGGTTTACAAATGAGGAAGCTGGCACCAGGGAATGTTTGTGGCCTGCTCAAGGCAGAGGTGGGCTAGGGGCACTAGGGAGCAGCTGCTACTTCACTGTTCTTACTCACAGCACTGGTTTCATTCATTCACACTCACTGGTTTACTGACCTATTTTAGAAGTGTATCCAGAAAGTGTCCAAGTAATGCTGCTCTTGTCATGAATGCTATTTCTTAATAACAGGAACAAAAACTCATTCTGGATCAGTGTGTGGTGTGAGAGTGGAATTTGTGGAATGTCAGCTCAAATATACCCTTTTAACTTATGTTGAATTGTATTATTTTATAGGCAGAGCACTACCAAAATCTCCTTGAAGAACTGAAACTAAACAAGATTCAACTGCAGCTTTTTCAACTATATCATAATGAGAAAAAAATTCATTTCCTGAACCTTGAGCTAGAGCATGTAAATAGGGATTTAAGTGTCGTAAAAAAGTCCCAATCTCATCATGAAAACGTAGTTAAAGCCAAGAAAAAGGAACATGGAACGCTAACTAGACAGCTACAACAAACAGAGAAAGAACTGAAGTGAGTTTTTAAAAATAGCTATTAACATTTGGATTTTATAGATTTTATATAGATTGAGAGAAAAAATATACATGCCAGTAGAAAAGTTGACTCTTTCTCTTTTTCTTTTTCTTTCTTTCTTTTTTTTTGGAGATGGAGTCTGGCCTTGTACTCACTTATGCAGCCCAGTCTGGCCTCAAATTCATGAGAATCCTCCTGCCTCAGCCTCCCAAGTGCTGCGATCATAGGCGTGCATTACCACACCTGGCTAGGAAAGTTGACTTTTTAAAATCAGCTTTTGACTGGGCATGGTGGCACATGCCTGTAATCCCAGCTCTTGGGCGGCTGAGGCAGGAGGATCCTCTTGAATTTGAGGCAAACCTGGGCTACATAAGTTAATTCAAGGCCAGCCTGAACTACATAATGAGGTCCTCTCAAAAAGCAAAAGCAAGTTTTTTACTTTGGAACATTTTTGGGTATTCAGAAAAAGTATAGAGTTCCATATTCCCCATGCTGTTTATCTTGTTATTAATATATTACACTATTAGTAGGCTACATTTTCAAAATTACTGCAATAATAAATACAGAATTATTAAAATCCATGCTTTCTTTAGATCCTAGTGTGTACCTCATGGCCTTTTTCTGACCCAGAACATCATAGTACATTTAACTGTCTGTTTTCTGTGCCTGTGACAATTTTTTCTGGCTTTCCATGTTTGGATGGCCTCACAGTTTTCAGGAATGTTGGTCAAATTTTCTGTAGAATGGCCCTTATTTGAAATTTGCCTGGCAGTTTTCTCGTAATTAGATTGGCATCCTGGATTTTAGAAAGGAAGTCTACGAAATAAAGTGCTGTTCACATCACGTGACATCAGGGCGTTAACATACTATCTGTGTTGCGATACATATCTTGTGTGTCATACCAACATGCCATCCGCCTGTGGCTGCTGAGAACTCTCTGAGTTGGATCCTGCGTCCCTTTGACATGGCCCCGTCAGCGTGATTTTTCAGCGTGTCCATACTTGCCAGCACTGCGAGATGCCCCAGGCCTGGAACCGAGCATCTCTCCCAGGAGCACTGGCTCCTTTTACTGAAGAATGGCCTCAGGAGCCAGCATCTGCACGCGCGTGTGCTCCCTGCTGCTAGTCTTCCCTGCCGACAGAACTAGGACCTGCGTGTGTGTGCTGACTCACATGTACATGTCTGTCAGTATTTCCATATGTCGCCATCTGTAACAGTCTGTTAAGCTAAACATGACTTGGTGCCAATTTCTCCCAACTATAATCCATCCCCATATGGTTGACTTTATCCTGTTCTTGTTTAGCAACTCCCTTTTCAGTAGAGAAGCCTGGCTCCCACCATCAGCCGTCAGTTTAATCGTTGTACAGTATCAGGACAGTCAGCCTGTCCTCCCAAGGGAAGCAGGTTCTGACGAGTACTGTGCTTCTGTATAAGTCCCTTTTCTGGTGTTACAGACTCCAGGCTTAAGCCAGCAGGTTTTTTTTTTTTTCCACTCTCCTTTATTAAAGTTTAATATCTTTATAATATAGTTAGATGCTTTTGTCACATCCTGCATTCTCTCTGGTACCCGTCAGTCTCGTGATTATGTAAAAAGCTGTTTACATTAAAGTTCACTCTTGACACTGTGAAGCTCCATAAGCACTCTTCAGACATGCTCCACGCTTCCTGTCCTCCTCCTCCCTGGGCTTGCCCAGCCTTCGGCAACCGTTGATTTTCTTAAGTCTTCAGAATTTCGCAGACATTCTGTGAATTTAGTTTTGAATGTGATTTGAACAAAATAATTTCCATTTATACATTAATAGAATTAGTTTTCTTCAAGAACTCTTTTTTCCTTTTTAGATCTCTTGAAGTACTTTTAAATCAAAAGAGGCCTCAGTACATTAAAGCCAAAGAAAACACTTCTCACTACCTCAAGAAATTGGATATGTCTAAGAAGTCAATAAAGGACTGTGAGAAACAATGTTCTAAGCAGGAAGATGACATAAGAGCCTTGCAGACAGAGCTGGTTGATTTAGATAGTGCATGGAAAAGTTTTGAAAAACAGATTGAAGAAGAAAGCTTACAGAGAGGGCGAGACATTGAACTGGAAGCCAGTCAGGTGAAAAAGTCAACAAATGGGAAATCATTTTTAATTGTTTCATCTTATCCTTTTAACTAGAAAAGGTTTAAAGAATAACTTCTCTGATGTTTAAGAGATTATCATAATGTAATTTGTTGGAATTTAAAATTTTAAATCTGAATGCAGAATCTAAATTTATAGTCTTTGATGAAGCTATTTTGCTCTGTGTGATGACATTTTAACATCTGTACGTTAGAGCTTTAGAAAACACGATGACCTGGTTTAATCTTGTAATTAAAGTTAGATAATTAACCAAGTTATTTTTAAGATTAAACAGTTGTTTTTTTCTCATGATAGTATAAAAACTTAAAGGTCAGATGTATGCATCTTTAAAGAATTTTAATTGACAGTAAGGAAAATGACTAAAGTGATTTAGAATGTTCAATCCAGCCAGGAGATAGCTCAGTGGCTTAAGCATCTGCCTGGCAGGTGCAGTGTCCTGAGTTCGATCCCCAGTATTGCAAAAAAAATTAAGTAAATAAAAATATTCAGTGATAGCTTAATATCTATCTTAGTATAGTATATAATAGTTATAATAAACTAGTAGTAAATACCAAAAATATGTGATAGAGAATTTTCAAACTTTTTGGCTAAACTTTATCATTTATCCTTTAGTTTTATGATAATTCTGTATTATATATGCCAAAATAATTGTGGCTGTGTAAATAGAAAAGGATGGTATTGTATTGTCTAGATTCTCCTTTCTCTCTTAAAATTTTCTTTTCCTTTTTTTTGAGATAGGGTCTTGCTAGGTAGTGCAGGCCAGCCTTGAGCTCACTGTGTAACCCAGACTGGCCTCAGACTCACGGCAATCCTCCTGCCTCAGCCTCCCAAGGGCTGGGATTACAGGCGTGCTCCACCATGCCTAGCACACTTACGATTTTCTTACAGAGTTTTAGATACCATTTGCTTCGGCTATCTTGTTGCTCTATCTAAAGAGGTAAAGTAAAGAGGCTTTCACAGTATGTTCATTATTTTACCTGAAGGAAAGGGTTAATTGTGATCTAATTATATTAAAAAGTTTTTGATAAGATGAATTATCTGCTAGTCCAGGATGTCACACAAAGAATTTTCTGTTGTGTTCTGAGTGGGTTAGCAGTGTTTTGAATCTGTTTATACAGCTGGATCACTATAAGGAACTTAAGGAACGAGTAAGAAGGGAAGTGGCGAGCCTGACTCAGCAGCTGGAGAAGCTGCAGTGGGAGCAGAGAGCAGAGAAAGAAAGACTCGCGCTGGAGAGCCGGCGGCGCGGGGAGGCTCAGGTACTGCCGGCCACGCGGGACTCGGGGTTCCTGTTGATCAAGTTGCGTCTCCTTTTCTGTTAACTTTGCAGCATGCATAGATTGATTTACTTCAAACATAGTTTTTTACTTTTTATTTTATTTTTCCATAATTTTATTGAGAAATAAATAGCAATGAGACAGTTTCCAATCACATTGGTAGGACAGTTCCAATAATTAACACATTGCATACTGCCTTCCTAGTGGTTATGTGTTGTACAAGATGCAGACATGATATCCTATTTACAAACACTGTTAGAACAAATCCCTCTATTCATTGAATTAAGAGAATGTAGCTGTATATCTATCCTAACCATTTTGAATACACATAAATAGCTTTTTAGTAGAAGGCTAAGGTTGAACTCTAGTGCCGAGGCTGTGGGTTCAATTGCCATCATCACAAAAAGAGGAAACAATTCTGGATTATGTGTTCTGTTCCTAGTATTACCTTATGCTTTTTTAGGGTTACAGTGGGCAAAGACAGTGTTTTCATTCATGCCTTCCGAGTTTTCTGGGCATCTGATTTGTGATAAGTGTGTTCATAAGGTACAGTCTCTTTCTTACATGTCTTTTAGTCCAGTAGGGTTAGGAGGAGGATAGACAGAGGGAAAAAGCGAGTATCAGAGCAGAGATGAATGCAAAGTCATTTGAAAACATTCAGGACGAGTCACTATTCTCTCTGTATCGTTGGGTTCCGCTTCTGTGGATTCAACCTAAGACAAAATATTTTGAGAAAAAATTACATGTTCGCTGAACATTGAGACTTTCCTGTCATTATTTCCTAAGTACAGTATTAAGCCTGTTTGCACAGCATTTACGTTGTATAGATATCAGTAATCTAGAGAGGATTTAAAATTAAGGGAGGATATGTGTAGGTTGTACTCAGATGCTACTGTGCTTTGTTTTTTAATTTCATGTATTTGGTACAGGGTCTCAATACACAGCTCGCACTCTAGTGATCCTCCTGTTGTCAGCTTCCTCAGTGCCGGGATTACAGGCCACGCCCCCATGCCTGCACTCTGTCACTAGCTCAGCGCACCCAGGGGTGAGGCCAGCATGGCATGTGTACCAGGGAGCAAGCCCTGGTCCTTGCGCTTGCCTAAGCAGGAGCTTAGTCCGTTGAGCTATCTCGCCAGCCCCACTAGTGTGTTTTATTCAAGGGCCATGAGCACCTACAGATCATGTAGCATAGAAGGTTCTGGAATCAGCCCCTGCAGAATGGGGGTGACTGTAACCCGAGAGCAGCTTGTTAATGGCAGCAGGAGTCACCATCAGGACAGCGTGGTGATTCTCGGCCTCCCTGAGGCACAGCGAGCTTCCAGCAGCCTTAATCTTCACTTAATGTGTATGACGTCCATGGATAACTGAATTATTTAACTCCTGTGTCCTTTGATCTCTTTGTCCTTGTCTGCCTTGTGGTGATAGGCAGATTCAGTGGGTGCAAGTGGCTGGGACAGTTCACCAACATCTAGTCTCTCCCTCTTCATGCGTTATGATCTTAGATGAGGACTCAGCTACAAACTTATAGTGCATTCAACAATAAGAACAATTTATTACAGAGTTTCTGGGCATTGTGATATAATATAGTGTTCATTTGCACGTGTGTTTTAGCAAGACAGCAGGGTCTCTGTCTTCAAAGTAGATGTTCTGTGTTTCCATTCTTATTTTTTCTCTCACCCATGTTCTTTGCCTTGGTGATCTATAGCCACACGGCTTTAAATACTGTACTGTGCACGTCTTACTCCAGCTCAGCCCTGCAAACCCCAGCCCTGTATCTCCACCTGCTTCCTCAGCATCTCCAACTTGGTTGTGTGTTCCAGACTAGACTTCTGTCCTTGCCCCGCTGCCCACACGTGAGGCACAGTCTTCTGCAGCTCCAGTGGGAGCAGTCAGTCCTCCTGGTTGCTGAGGTGGTCAAAAAGTAGAACCCATCTCTTAATTCTTTCAATAAATTTCTGTTGGCTCCACTTGAAAATACAAGAATCTCCATTTCTGCTGCCGCCATCCTTGTCCAGTTTGCCATTTTGGAGGGCTTGGGTCAGTGTAGTGGGCTACAGTTTCTGTTACTGCCCATGATTCCTACAGAGAAGCCACAGTTATAGAAGCTAAAATGATACTTTTATTATATAAATCAAGTCACAAAACCTGATTTTTTTAAACTGTTCACTGGCCCCGACACAAATGAATGTTTAAGTCAAGGACCTTACATGACTGTAACCATTTAGCTGAACTGTCAACCTGACTGGCTTTTCACAATTAAAACTTGCTTTCATTACTGTCTTCACTTAACTGTATAGTGTGGTGACTTTGAGACGTAGTTTTATTAGTTTGGAATTGGTAATTGACTAGGTTTTATTTCCTCTTTTAGGGAAATCTAAAACAAGTAAAAGAACAAATAGAAGATCACAAAAAACGAATAGAAAAGTTGGAAGAATATATAAAGACATGCATGTAAGTATAAAATCCTTGGAACTAGCTCACCGTCTCTAGAGGCCAGTGCATTTCTACATATCAAAGGATGTTGGGCTGGGGAGATCACT